AGAGAAAACAAATAAAATTCAATACATAGAAGCTAAAATCATTAACAAAATAAAGATGCAAACATTTTTATTAAGTAATGTTTTTGTTAATCAAATTATTTTTGAAAGCAAATGACAAAAATTAAAAAATCAAATTCTAAAACAATTCAAAAACTTAATTAAAGCGAGATCTTTCTGGCTGTTCTTCTTTCAGATGCTGAGGCTGGAGCATGTTACGATTTTACTGAAGAAAAGGATTCATATTTGACTGTTGAACATTCAGTCCAGTTTGTGATGACAGGATGTTAATGTTTGCGATAACAGAATGTTAATGTTTGTGAAGATGTAAATATGAGAGCTTAAGTGAAAATGAACATGAAATAAACATAAACTCAAGGATTAAACTTGAGAAATGAAATACATAAACTGTATTCTGATTGATCAGAAAGACACAGCATCAAACATACATCAGACTTCTAAGAAAACAGCAGCTTATAGATGTCAGTTGCTGAAACGTAAGGAAGTTAATTAACTGTAAAATAAAGTACTGCACCATGAAGCGTGAATCACAAAATTACATAAAGAGAACTGCTAACACATAACTGTCATAGCAAATTTAAAATACTTGCTCTCAGTTACTTCAACAGTTACTTTAACACAGAACTGCTAAATACATAAATGATAAAGAAAAATTACATAAATAAAACATTCTTTCTCTTATCCTTTTTTTAGTAAATAAAGAAAAATTACACTAAGTTAAAAAGAGTAAAAGACATCAATGATTGAACAAACAACCCTTTGTATACATCTTACTTAAAAAGTAAGACAGCAGTTCAATTCATCTGAACATAAACCTACAACAATCCATTTCATGGTTTTTCCAAGAATTACATTAACCACTTAATTATCTAAAATTCTATAGCATTTCCGCCATTACAAGACTAGACCATATTGTGTTCATGACACTAAAAATCAGTGAAAATATATATCAGCTTCTAAATAACAGCTTTCCTCACTCAAGTACTGGTTTTTATAATTTACTTTTCAATATAAAGACCATAAGTGTTTTTTCATTTTCTTCTACAGGAGGGAAAACAATGACTGTTTAGATTAAAATTAAATGGAATGGTTGCTATTCTTGAATTTGCAATCCCAAATGCCATCAAAGAAACAATGGCTGCCGGGCCGAGTATACATGTAAAAGGCAATATTTTAAGCTTCTAAACCATCAAAACATGGTAGACTAAAATGCTATCTCAACCTGATGAAGTTCTCTAACCATAATAATCTAAACCCTAATTGAACAAAATCACAGCCATCATTAACAAAAGGGATGTTGGCACTGCTAACCCCTAAACCCTCAAACTTTAAGCACTTTTAGTCCCTATACTATCAAACTTTATGCACTTCAATATCACTTATTTGTTATTTCATCAAAGAAATCAACCTAAATTTCACCTGAAGGAAAAAAAGATTTAATTAAAATATATAAATAAAAAATAACTTACCTCTTTTCCGGTGGCATCCTCAGTCACCAAATCACCATAATAACGAGGAGGTGAATTCAACTAGTCCCAGGATGAGGAAGAACATTAGGGTCATGTAGATGAGAATCACGAAATTGTTACTGCGCAATGCGCCGCTCAGCCGCAATGAGAACCAGGAAGAAGAACTCTCGGTCTGCAATTTCTGACCCCCATGGGGGGCAGTGGTCATGGCAACGACGCAGATTAACAGCGACCGGATTCACCAACTCTACGATGAAGTTGCTGACCCGAATCATTCTTGAATTTTTCCAATTAGGCGACGCGATCCTCTTTCTTGCCCGGCGACGGCGCGGAAAGAGTTTTACTTTCTTTAAATCAACAGAAGTGTTAAGTTATTCGTGGGACCCACATATGTCCCAATCAGCAAAAACCTTTGACATGGAATTTCCAAGTCAACATTTTCAAAAATTGTAAAAATCAAACTTAATAATGGGCCCAAAAAAATTGCTCAAAACTTAGGAACAGGGACCAGAGGTTCCAAAAACACTTGATAACAGTGCTACATTTTATCAAGTTCTTCTCTAAGTCCATCTCATCTACGGATGGCAATTTTCTTTGAGACTCACACAGCTCTGTAGAATTCCCCACTACAAGAATGGAAATTCCATGAACATTTCTCCTTATGAGACAAGAATTGAGGCTTTTTTTTTTGTAAAATTTTGTAGGAAATTTCCTCATTCCTTGAAAATCGTGATAATTTATATATAATAAAAAAATAAATTTATTCTTATATATATTTTTATAAATATATTATCAATTAATTTTTCATCATTCAACCCAATTAGCTAACATAACTCAACTCCAATTACCCAACCTAATTCCTTTTCTAGCTCCAATCTTCCTAAACCCAATTCAATAACCCAAGGCGACCTGGACATGTATAGTAGTTAATGTATTTTTTTATGAACTTACTATTAAACCTGTTGGACGTGTATGGTAATTTGTATTTGTTGCAACTAATTACTAGATATTAATTTGCTGCATTGTATGTTACTGTATTTACTTGTTTGAGTTGTTTTGAATTTTTTTTATTTATAAAAAAATAAAATAAAATTTTATATATTTAATACTTAATAAAGAGTCCACGTACTCATGGAATGGGATGAAGGTCATTTTTGACCCCCACCAAAAATTCCCATGAGGATGCTCATTTCCATCATTAGTAGGGATGAATGAGATCCCCACCCTCGTAAAGTCCCGTTCCCATCCCTATTCCCATCCGAGTCATGCATAAAACATCACAGT